ACCAATGGAGTTCAACCAGGTCTGTTGTGAGATAGTAACTCACTGAAGACAGAAGTGGACGGTCGCACAATATCGTGGATTAGTTGCAGTTAGATATTAACACTATTGGATGCCAGTCGGCTCAGTAGTTTAGTACTTAGGCGGTCGTATGTGAGACTGATAGGTCCTGGGTTAGAATCTCGTGAGGCAGGATCGTGGATGCGCACTAGGACAAAACAGCCATCTGATACTTCCAGGTTTTCCATAATGGTTTAACTTCAATTGACACATGATCTCAACAATTAAAATTACTATAACATCCACAACCCCCCCCCCTCTGATATTAAATTCTCTCAATCTTATAAATCAATACAAACTGATGTCAATTTTTTAGTTCACCAATCAATCTCTTTTATTTTTTTACTTCAACACCAGGGTATAGAATATTCCCACCCCCTCCCCCTTAAAGGAAAATAAGTCAACTCATTTTGTAAAATTAAACAAAATGAAAACGTGTCATAATAGAAATATAAAAGAAAAACTTATTCATGGAAAAAACTTTATATAAATCTGTTATGATATTCGGTATTTGATATACAATACTTTGAACATGTTAAATGTTCAACAATTGACATCATGAATGAATACCGATAAATTACCGCCTTACTTCGTATTGACTATAACCGATAATATCAATAATATTAAGGTGTTTAATTTACAGATATACTATAATTGCTAAACCTTCACTTTCAATGTGTGTTTTTTTCTTTCTATGTAAATATAGGCCTCGTAGAGTAGAATTAACGATTTCAAATTTATGTGTGCATGACTATCTTACTATAAACATGAATATGTCATTAGCAAATGTTTGAATCAATAAATACATTAATTTAATGATTGAATTCATGAGTTAATTGAGGCTAGAACACCATGAAAAAATTGGAACCACTGGACAACCGTTTCGTCTTAGTGTATGACTCCTCAGTAGTGCTAATCTACGATCCCACCTTGTGAGATTCTAACCCAAGACCTATCGGTTCCGCACATGAGCGCTTAACCTCTAGACCACTAAGCTGACTGGCATCCATTAGTGTTAATGTCTAACTCCAATCAATCCATGATATTGTGTCACCGTCCACTTCTGTCTCGAGTGAGTAACTGGATCTACAATAGACACAGTTGAAATCCACGGGTGTGGGATTGTGGATACACACTTCTGAGGAGTCTCATGCTAGGATGAAACGGATGTCCAGTGCTTTCAGGTTTTCCATGGTGGTCTAGCTTCAATTTCCGCATGAATTCAATCATTAAATTACTATAATATCCATAAAATCCCTTGTCTGAATATAGTATTAGATTGATGTGATAATGAAAAATGTTAGGTTAGCATTGATGTCTCATTTCTACAGGAAGTCAGTCATAAATGCAATGAGTCAGTGGTAACTTCTATGATTGCGGCATTATTAGTATCGTCAGTGTTAAAAAATGAGTCTGAACCTTCTAGTCGAATACTTTCTACTAATTTATATCATATAAAGTTCATCACATTGTCGATTCATTTAGATATGTGATGATATTGTAAGTTAATCAATATAGTTCGATTAATGATAAGCTTTCGGTAATAGTAACTATACAGCAATCCCAAAGTAACAAATGATTTCATAATGAAGGCTAACTTGGGTTATGGTGTTCATCAGTAAGACAAATTAGCTAAATCATATGTTTGATGTAATTGTAAACGCATACTGGAATTACTGTCAATCTGAAAGCAAACAATATTTAACTTCATTTCAACTAGTACATCTGTCATTACACTATCTATTTGTAGTCTAGTTTCACTGGTATTACTAACTCAAAAGCTGCCTTGATTATTTCACTAGGATCATACATACACATAAATATTATTGTATATAAGATTAAAGCCCGATGAAGATCTAATTGAAGACAAAATTGTTCAATTATATCTATTTTGTTCTAACCTCAGTTAATTAAAAACAATGTATCTTCAACGAAAAAGATGTTTTCTATAAAATTATTCTACCCTTCTATGTAGTACTGTGGCCTAGTGGTGTAGCAGTTAGTACTCTGGACTCGGAATCCAGCGATCTGAGTTCGAGTCTCGGCGAGGCCTCGTGTTATGGGCACTTTTGAAATTATCACTCTCCATGTGCTATGTAGTACTTGTATTTATTAACTTTAATAATGATAAAATTTATTTAAATTTCAAACTTTATTATCGGTAAGTGAATAACTTTAATTTAATCTCTCCATTATCATACTACTTATACGGCAAATCAATAAAAGTAGTATGATAATAGTTCAAACATTATTATAGGTTTATGCTAATAAATGATGAAATAATACCATGATAATAATGAAAATAATAATAAGTTTTTTTAATTCTCCTTAATTAAATGGGATTGAAATATTGATTTTTAAAAAGAGTTTAAAAAAGTTCACCTTATTTTTTCAATTTATGTCACCATGACAATTAAAGTCGCTTAGGACTTTCCCATTACTTATATACTCTACTATACTAAGTGTTATAGGATTCAAAGATTTCAAATATTATGATACTTTATTGATTAACTGTGAAATCTAAAATGTTCGTTTCACTCTATTTCGAACTCATCAGTTGTACTCATCAGTATGTACTCGTAACATTCTAATGTTGATGTTCAAATTGAGACTTGAATTTAGTATTTATTGCTTTAAAAAAAAAACAATGGATTATATACTAAGCTACTGAATGCATCTAGACACCAGTTTGTGCAACTGGTATGAAGTGATATGTAAGATCTTATATTTTCAGGTTCTTGATGAACAGATTCTAAAAGTGACTGATCATTTGCAGACCCCAATATAAATAACGTGGAAATATAAACCTTTTCAGATAAAAAAAATATTCTATTTCAATAATAATTAAACATACCATATATATTTTCTTTCAATAAGCCCTCAAATGCCCTGGTACGGCCGAGAGTGGGGGGAGTTAGTTCTCCTCGAAATTCTCTCAAACGGCCACGTGTGTACAACGACTGATAAGGAAGTCCAACTCACTGCCTTCTCCCGCAGCATTACTGTTGTTTACAAAATTTAAAAGACGAAAAACGAATGTCCGGCGCTGTAACCAGATTGGTGGACACGGAGAGTCCACCTAGTACAGTTGAAAGACCCCGATTTAAAACCGACGGTGCACATGGGCTCCAATATCCTGACGGAACAAATGGTGTATCAACCAATCATTGGTCACAGAATACCATGAGACTGCATCTCCTCACGTTACTCCACTGCCTTATGGATTAGACCTTTAGGTCGAAGGCTTTGAGTATGCCTCCCTAAGAAAAACACCTGCTTCGGTTTTGGCACCCGGGAAGTATCCCAGCCCTCACACGAATCGAATGATTTATATGGCGCCTATCCATTTGGTGCCTCCTTGTGCCAATGTTTATGTCTTTACATAAATAAATGAAGGAAATAAACATTCAATCATTCGAAGGTAAAAAGTGTAGACTCTTCAGTTCAACAAAATATTATCTTTTGTTTGTTAGTTAATTTGTTCTTTTGTGTATGAGAATCATCAGCCAGGAAGTTGACATGAACAATTATAAAATGAATGTAAATTCCTTTCTAGTACTCTTCAGTGGTGATAACTAAATTCAACAACATTTTTCTTCTACTATAACTCATCACAGGAAATTGAATTTAAGAAAGAAAGTGAATAACACAGGAAGCTACAATATAACCAAAATTATTATTATAATCACTATTGCTATAAGTAGTAGTATGAGTAGTAGTAATCGCAGCTTAGTAGTAGTTTGCTTTTAGTCATTAATTTGTGGATTTCAAATTCTTATTATTACCAATCCTCCTATATAAACTTCCTATCGGTTGAGTACATAAACAAGTAAACTGCTGATGAGTTGATTTTGATAGTATTCATACTATTACTTATTTATTTACATACGCCTGTTACCCCTCATGTAGGAGTATAGGCCATCCACCAACATTCTCCATCCAACTCTGTCCTCGACAATTCTTTCCGGTTTTTCTAGTCGTTATCCATTCTTTTCATGTCTGACTCCAATTCCTGACGTAATATGTTCTATGGACTACCTATTTTCCTTCTCCATTCAGGATTCCAAGTTAGCGCTCGCCTTGTGATACAGTTTGATGATTTTACGCATATATGTCATATCCACTTTCAACGTTCTCCCCTAATTCCCTATGCAGATGGAAGTTAGTTTGTTCTCTCCTAAAGTAAGTTGTTACTGATGGGATCCAGTCAACGGACATTTAGGATCTTGTGTGGAAAATTGTTTATAAATACTTGCACTATTTTGATGATAGTTGTGATATTTCTTCAAGTTTCAGCTCCATACAATAGAACTGTGTTGATGTTCGCATTGAATTGTCTGATTTCCATGTTGGTTGACAGGCAGTTGTTTGGAGTCTCATACATTCTTCAACTGTTGGAACACTGTCCTCACTTTTCCGACCTCCAGTTTTACGCCTGTATCCGATCCTCCATGATCATCGATGATAATACTCAGGTATTCATACTATTACTATAAGCTAATCAAAGTATGGTAATTAGCGAATCAAATTCTCCTCTCCCCTCACATCATATTCAGACCTATATACGTAGTGAATTCACTATCAGAGTAGACCCTTTTCGTAGTGTATGATCAATCGAATTACCAGAGAACTTAGATAAATAACTAACTATTAATAAAGAAACTTTTGAAGTATGCATGAGAAAAAATGAATGAAATTAAAATAGATATAAATAAACACATACATACACAAGTACAAATATGATTTGAACTAAAACTAAACCGATTCATTGAACATAATCAATATTTTCTTTATTGAAATATAATTGAATTTATTATGCAATTATTCAATTACATAATTGATTTGATGAGGAATTAATATTAGTAGTATGTTAACCAACTTTGTTTGCAAGTAATTACATTGAATAATTTTATTTTCTAGTGGAATTAGCTTATCACATGAACTTATTTGCTTGTAGTAGTAGTAGTAGTAGTAGTAGTAGTAGTAGTAGTAGTAGTAGTAGTAGTAGTAGTAGTAGTAGTAGTAGTAGTAGTAGTAGTAGTAGTAGTAGTAGTAGTAGTAGTAGTAGTAGTAGTAGTAGTAGTAGTAGTAGTAGTAGTAGTAGTAGTAGTAGTAGTAGTAGTAGTAGTAGTAGTAGTAGTAGTAGTAGTAGTAGTAGTAGTAGTAGTAGTAGTAGTAGTAGTAGTAGTAGTAGTAGTAGTAGTAGTAGTAGTAGTAGTAGTAGTAGTAGTAGTAGTAGTAGTAGTAGTAGTAGTAGTAGTAGTAGTAGTAGTAGTAGTAGTAGTAGTAGTAGTAGTAGTAGTAGTAGTAGTAGTAGTAGTAGTAGTAGTAGTAGTAGTAGTAGTAGTAGTAGTAGTAGTAGTAGTAGTAGTAGTAGTAGTAGTAGTAGTAGTAGTAGTAGTAGTAGTAGTAGTAGTAGTAGTAGTAGTAGTAGTAGTAGTAGTAGTAGTAGTAGTAGTAGTAGTAGTAGTAGTAGTAGTAGTAGTAGTAGTAGTAGTAGTAGTAGTAGTAGTAGTAGTAGTAGTAGTAGTAGTAGTAGTAGTAGTAGTAGTAGTAGTAGTAGTAGTAGTAGTAGTAGTAGTAGTAGTAGTAGTAGTAGTAGTAGTAGTAGTAGTAGTAGTAGTAGTAGTAGTAGTAGTAGTAGTAGTAGTAGTAGTAGTAGTAGTAGTAGTAGTAGTAGTAGTAGTAGTAGTAGTAGTAGTAGTAGTAGTAGTAGTAGTAGTAGTAGTAGTAGTAGTAGTAGTAGTAGTAGTAGTAGTAGTAGTAGTAGTAGTAGTAGTAGTAGTAGTAGTAGTAGTAGTAGTAGTAGTAGTAGTAGTAGTAGTAGTAGTAGTAGTAGTAGTAGTAGTAGTAGTAGTAGTAGTAGTAGTAGTAGTAGTAGTAGTAGTAGTAGTAGTAGTAGTAGTAGTAGTAGTAGTAGTAGTAGTAGTAGTAGTAGTAGTAGTAGTAGTAGTAGTAGTAGTAGTAGTAGTAGTAGTAGTAGTAGTAGTAGTAGTAGTAGTAGTAGTAGTAGTAGTAGTAGTAGTAGTAGTAGTAGTAGTAGTAGTAGTAGTAGTAGTAGTAGTAGTAGTAGTAGTAGTAGTAGTAGTAGTAGTAGTAGTAGTAGTAGTAGTAGTAGTAGTAGTAGTAGTAGTAGTAGTAGTAGTAGTAGTAGTAGTAGTAGTAGTAGTAGTAGTAGTAGTAGTAGTAGTAGTAGTAGTAGTAGTAGTAGTAGTAGTAGTAGTAGTAGTAGTAGTAGTAGTAGTAGTAGTAGTAGTAGTAGTAGTAGTAGTAGTAGTAGTAGTAGTAGTAGTAGTAGTAGTAGTAGTAGTAGTAGTAGTAGTAGTAGTAGTAGTAGTAGTAGTAGTAGTAGTAGTAGTAGTAGTAGTAGTAGTAGTAGTAGTAGTAGTAGTAGTAGTAGTAGTAGTAGTAGTAGTAGTAGTAGTAGTAGTAATAGTAACTGTGTGATTGTGGAGATTAGGGAATGTCATTAGAAATCACAAAGTGATTTCGGTTAGACAATGACTGAAACCTGAATGTATTAGATAATCGTTTTATTTGAGTATGGAGCTCTTCAAAAGTACGTGGTCATGACCACTCCATCAGAAATTTAATATGAAACCATCGGTTATGCGTGTAAACACTCAACTTCGAGATCATCGAGTCACGATCCATGAATGTATAAGTATAATCTCAATCTACGTGACTATTTCCCATTGTCATTGCCAAGTCTCATAAACAAAAAAAAAGAAACGGCCGCTCAGCGATTCCAGGTTTTCACTGGTGTTCTAAATTTAATCAATTCATGATTTCAATTATATATGTGGGAGTTTTATAAAGTACCTTAAAACTAATCGCTTAATACGTGTTTATTAATGTATTCTAGTTTCATTAGTTATGATTAGTTTAATTACCTAAAGGTATGAAAACAAGAGTCAACATCATCATTCTGACCTACCATATATATCTACATGTCATATATACTGCCCTCCCCACGTTAGTTGATCAATATTGAATTAATCTGCTGCTATTTTCAAAGAAGAGCAGAATGAGATAGTTCTTAGAACTTCATAAGTTGTCAAAAAATAATTACCGATATTCTTTTGCTTACATGAAATGTTTCAAAAAATCCATTTCAAATCAAATTCATTCAGAGTTCAACTAAAAAAATTGTTGATTATTATTTTTAGAAGGGGTTTTGTGGAGATTTTAGTAATTTCAATAATTGAAAGCACGAGTCAATTGAAGCTAGAACACCATGGAAAACCTAGAAGCATTGGACAGCCGTTTCATCCTAGTATAAGACTCCTGAGCAATGTCCATCCACGACCCCGCACCCCGCGAGATTCGAACCCAGGACCTATCAGTCTCGCGCCAAGCGCTTAACCACTAGACCACTGAGCCGACCGGCATCCAATAGTGTTAATGTCTAACTTCAACCAATTCACAAAATTGCGCCACCGTACACCATTGTCTTTAGTGAGCTGATATTTCACAACAGACCTGGTCATTTGTTGCATCAATCACAGATTAATCTCATCTGGAATACCATTAACAAACAGGAAATATTATACATTTGTTTTGTCATAACGTGAAAATACTCAAAAGTGAACAACTACAATTCTGCCAATCTTCATAAAGTTCAGTCAATTATTTTTCAAGTTCTTAATAACAAAAACATAGTTATCAATAAAATTACTTCTTCTTCTTTTTCTTCTTCTTCAACAACAACAACAAAGGACAACTTCATAGCAAAAGAAACATCATGGAACAATGTCATTTCAATTGGTGTTTTTATTAAAGTAACAATAATAAAAAACCTTAATTATTTTAAGACCACACATACCCAAAGATGTTAGGTGATATAAAGTGGAAAGGAGTTTCTTCACTTTCTCTCTCTCTCTCCCTCTCATTTCTTTATACTTCTATTCTTTCTCTTGTATGTTACTTTTTTAAATTATTAATATTATTATTGAATGAGTTTCATTCTTTATTATTTAATAACAATAACATAAAGATAGTAATCTATAATGTACAGGGGAACTTATAACAGAAGAATAACGTTAGTAACAAAACTTACTATTCACATTATATAATATAATAATAATAATAATAATAATAATAATAATAATAATAATAATAATAGAATAGAAAAAAATTGGCCTGATTATTTGCATGTAGTTGGATGTTTGAATTTGTAATGTTGCAAATGTAATATCAACTAATTGTTTTAGATGGTGGTTGGAGGTAGTCAACAGGAAACCCTGGACCCGGGTTTCGTGCTACTTGGCACTCGTCAGCAAAGTGTGCCTGTAATCTTGAGGGAACTGGTGCTCCCTGGCGGATTCGATCTCGTGTCAACCACCTTCACAGTCAGAGACATTACCACTGATCTATCCGAGCCGTGACTAACCTCCTGTAGGACTGAGATGTAATCACAATTGATTGATCACTGGGTGGTGATCAATGTCATGCTTGTCTAGTCCACATTGCCACATTGCAACATGATCGATAGCATTCGATCTGCACTAATAAGGACTAGACAAGCATGACATTGATCACCACCCAGTGATCAATCAATTGTGATCAACTAACTGTTTTTAAGAGTTTACAATTAATTTTGATATGCCTATGAATTATTATTATTATTATTATTATTATTATTATTATTATTATTTTCAAAGATAGATAGTGGCTAGTAGTGGAATCTAGGACGGACGTTTCGTCCTATTTTGGACTCATCAGCTGGATGTACCTGCACCTCAGAGTTGATGTATTCTCTAAAGCTCGAACTCAGTATCGTTCGAGGCAATACACACAGTATGCACATATGCCAATAAGAGACTGGTCAATTGCAGTCATAAACATCAATGGGAAGATTCAAACAAATAATACCAAGTGTATTATTATTATTATTATTATTATTCAGTTGTATATTTTTGGTACAAAATAGAACTCTCAGCATAAATTATTTCAACAAGTTTCTGCTTCTTGTTTCTTGATCGATCCTGACGATAACATAATGAGTTATTAACATTAGAAGGGGTTTTTTGTGGATATTATAGTAATTTTAATAGGTGAGATCATGAATCAATTGAAGCTAGACCATCATGGGTGGGGCGAGGCTGATCGTGGATGTGCACTGTTGAGGAGTCCCACAATCGGACGAAATGATCATCCAGTGCTTCCAGGTTTTCCATAGTGATCTAGCTTCAATTGACTCATGATCTCAACTATTGATATTGAGTGATTGCGAGTTAGATGTTTAACAGTTTTGGAATCGACATCTGAATAATTCATATTCTTTTCAATGCGTTTTGCCAGCAACCACGATGTCTTTGATTGAGCTCTTTTGTAAGCTGTACAGAGAAATGTCGTAAACTTTTCACAAATGCACCTGAACAGGTCATGCGACTAATAGACATAATGATGTGTTCGAACAAACAAGAAAACAGATAAATTGTTAAAATATCTAGATGGTAGGAACAGTTAGCTCAGATATTCAAGCAGGCCGCCTCTTGTGACTAGAAGTGGAATCCAGAAGATATGTTTATTCAGAGTTTGCAATAATATAAACCTTTATAAATATGAATAATATGATTTGTGCACAAAACTCGTTAAGCAGGTAGGATTTTAGAGGTGATGGGCATAAATGAAAACTAACTGTTCAACTAAACTTTGAAGTTTACATCACAAAGGTCTAACCACAGAATAAATATGGACTACCATGTTTTGGCTAAGCAATTAAAAGTTCTCATATCCATCTGGATATCTGAAGTCTATTCCTTCTTATTGTTCAATAGTCGTAGATTAGAAGGAAACATTTATTTGATATTTTCTGAGTATTAATAGTTCTTTATTTTAGACCAATTCATCCTAAAAACTAATGATTAAAATTACTTACTACAAACAGCTGGTCAACATATCTGGAATAGATGAGAATTATTCAAACCTCTTTGACGCCACTAAATATATATTCAAGAATCCTGTTAAAATGTATTTTGATTTCATAAGAGTTGGGTGATTTAAGTCTCCACTTCTACAAATTACCCAGTAGAAAAGTACATACTCAAGTGAGTAGTCGAGTTAAGCATCGCCTCATTGTTCAGGTCCATAAGTCACATGGTTATACAGTTTCAATAATAAACCACACTTCATGAATATCAATAGAAATATTACTAAGAGATATGTATTTCAAAACTGATAAATCCATTTTCAGAATTAACTGACTATTAGTTTGACAGGGGAAAAATATAACAATATTTACGTAATCAATAGCCAAATGGTTGAATTATGAAGTACTGACTGTTAGAAAGTTAACTCAATGGTTTATAGACAACGTACTCAATACAAGATCTTTGGTACCTCAGGTAAGGTCTGAAGTGGACATAAGTGTTTGCTGCTAAGCAGCCCTATACTAGGACTTTCTGGCTTTTAGTGATTTTTCAACTAGAGTTAGACCGTAACGTAAAGTTTAGAGTTAAATTATCGCTAAAAACCTCCCATACTAATAATACTTGTGTAATTGTTAGTGACTAACATTGACAGGTAATTCCCGGGTATCCGATTTCAGTGGACTTCAACTATTTTGGGTATGAAGTAGTCGCCCATTAACCATATTAGGAAATAATTGAGTAATATCACAAATCGATTTTAGTTAAAAATATAAACCATTGGATCTAAACTCTGTGGGCAAAAGGTTAACGATTCACCATTTGACCTGAATGCTCTGAATACAATTCCCAGTGAGGTTACGGATGCATATTACTGAATAGTCTCATACTAGAACGGAACAGTTGTTGAATACTTCTTGGTTTTTAGTTGTTGTCTAGCTCAAGTCAACTAATAGTGTAAACTGTCTTCTACATAAAATATGGTAAAATAATTGTTTGATAAATATTCCTTACGAAAAAATTACATATGAACTAATTTACCAAACATAACTAAGCACGTTTCATGTCTTTTTTTCCCGCCTTCTCTATTAAAAACGTTCTTCTGAAAATAAAACAAACAATTATTAGCTAATTTATATGAAACAGCTAATAATACATGCGAAGGGGTTTTTGCGGATATTATAGTAATTTTAATAGTTGAGATCATGAGTCAATTGGAGCCAGATAACCATGAAAAACCTGAAAGCATTAGACGGCCATTTCATCCTAGTATGGGACTCCTCAGTAGTGCGCATCCACGATCCCACCTCGCGAGATTCCAACCCATGATCTACCAGTCGCGCACACAAGCGCTTAACCAACTAGACCGCTGAGCCGACATCCAATGGTCTTAATGTTTGACTTTAACCAATCCACGAAATTGAGCAACACATCCGCCATTGTCTACAGGGAGTTACTATCTCACAACAGACCTCGTTGAACTCTACTGTTCACTGCTTCTCACTAGAACTCCAGGAAATACCTCTTGAATCCAGTCACTAGTTAGCATATGTTGATTCATATCAGAAAGGGTTTTTTTATTGATATTATAATAAATT